AAAAGTGAGTTTGCTTGAGTTAATTAATATAATTTAAATGGAAATACACAATAACCATGCAAAAATTTTAATTTTAGTGGGTAGAGGACAACACTGTTCAGAGGAAGAGAGGAATTTGATAGCTCAGCTTAGAAAGCAGGGAAAAACCTATCAACAAATCCAAGATATGGTAAATTGTTTTACCAAAATGGTATCCAATGCCATTTATGGCATCCAATGCCATTTAAATATGATTGGAAGTCCAAAACACGTGGGCCGAAACGAAAAACAACCGATATTAAGGACCGACGAATAGTGTGCTTCAGCAAAGCGAATCCTCTTGCATCTTCTAGGGATGTAAAAGTGGAGCTGAAGTTGGGGATCAGCGACGTCACCATTTACCTTCGATTAGTAAATGGAAATTTAAATGCGTGAAGCCCCCGAAAGGTGCCATTACTTGGTAAAAGGCATATCCAAGCTCGATTGGAGTTTGCCAAAAGCCATTTGTACTGGCCCGTGACGAAATGGCGCAATATTCTTTGGACAGATGAGTCCAAACTGGTTTTGTTTGGTGGGACAGGCTCAAGACAGTATGTCCGACGACCCCCAAACACTGAGTACCACCCAAACCACCCTCTTAAGACCGTTAAGCACGGTGGCTTTAAAATATTGGTATGGGCTTGTTTTTCGTACAGCGGCGTGGGTCGCATACATATGATCTATGGGATCATGGACCAACACGTCTATGTGGACATACTCAAAAATGTTATGCTTCCTTATGCACAGTGGGATATGCCCTTAAAATGGTCATTCCAGCAGGATAACGACCCAAAACATACCAGCAAATTGGCTAAGAGCTGGTTTATTCAAGAAAACATTGATGTAATGTCGTGTCCAGCACAGTCCCCGGATTTAAATCCGATTGAAAATTTATGGGGGGACATCAAGCGATATGTGGCAAAGAAATCCCCGACTTCAAAGTCGCAGCTTCGGCCATTTGTACCGGACGCGTGGGCGCAGATTCCCCCTAAGCGTTGCCAGGACTTGGTGGACTCCAAGCCACGTAGGTGTGAAGCTATAATAGCCAATAAAGGTTTTACGACAAAATATTAGTTAATATTTATCATTATTGTTATTTGTATTAAGTTATTTTTAAGATTTGTTAAATTTTTTAATTTTTTTTGGTAACACTGCTATTATTATGAACAGCACATTTTGTCGTTATTATTTTGTTATTATGAATATTTTCGAAAATAATGGAGTTATTAAACTGAAACAAATGTTAACATAATTAAAATTAAATATATTATGTTGATGTAAACCAAATTTGTCCCAATTTAGTGTTTATTCTATGATTTTTCGATCTTAAACATTTACGTCATCAGCACTGCTATTATTATGAACACAGCTGTACTTCTTTGATCAAAAATGTACTTGGAAGAAAAAAAGCTCTGCGCCGGAGAAAAATTACTTTTGAGGCTCCGAAACACTTTCTGATGAATAAATAATTATGCATAACCTATAATTCTACCAAACTCCGTCAGTAATGTAGGAATAGTGCAATACACTTACGCTAAAAAATTGGGTTGGTACCCCTTTTATTTTTTAAAATAATAGCGAGTGACGACTTTGCCCCACTGACGACATTACCCCACTCTCCCCTAAACATTATTATTTGAAAAAAAAAAATCTGGATATTTTTCACCTCAGATAATTTTTACTTCGGAATAATATTTGCTTTTAAAATAAAATTAACTGTTTTGTTTATATTTTGTTTTGCATTGAGAAAAAAAATGTTCCAAATGTATACAAAATTCATTTTGAGTTTTTAGGTGTTCTTTTAATTCCTTATAATAGGGTTTAAATCAATGTTTTGCTAATTAAATGCCTTACAAAGATGTATGGGAAGATTTCGATCAGTTTATAAAAATCAAACGCCTTTCGAGCGTTCTAATTTTTTTCGCAGTGCATCGACATCATTTCACATTCGTCTCTTGTACATACAAAGTGGTTGCTGCCTCAAGGCTGAAATGGGTACCATGACTGCAGAACAGAGGGGGCTGAACTGTGGGGAGGGGCAGGGGGACAGGAACTTTGCGTGGGCCAATCTGCCGGCTAGGTGGCCCTCCCGGTTAAACATGGTGACCCTCCAGGCGGAGCAAAAGCAGCAGCAGCAGCAGCAGCCAGAGCAGCAGCAGTAGAACCACCGAGATCGAGAGCAGCGAGATCTGTATCACTCAAAGTGTCAATGGACGCAAATTTACAAAATGTTTTGCTGTTCTCGAACTCCTGCCATTGTTACAGAGCACTTGGCGGGGCCATTGTCACCTGGCACGTGTCGGAATCTCAGATCGGCGGCTCAAGTTCTCTGCCCCACTCCCGCCAAATCGGATGGAAATGGGAATGGGAATGGTGGTGGTACATTGGTTGGACCCCAACGAGATGGGGGAAGCGACGACCCCCGGAGGGCAAGTAACGTTTTTGCCTGTCATTTTTCTTCATGTTTATTTTTCGCTTACTGCATTTTCTGGCATTTAAGCCCCGCTCTGATCTATCTGTCTTTTTTCGGCCGCCAGTTGGCTCGGTTCGCCTTTTGAGCCGGCTGTTTGAGTTTCTGTGTCAGCCCCAAACCCGGAGCACTTGTCGTGATTAGTTTAGAAAAATGTTGGCTATTAATTTGCTGCCTTGAGTAACACTTGTTATTTGGCTTCGCATTTCGCATATAATCTTGTCTGACCGCCTGGTGCCATGTGCGGCCATAGATAATCTTTATGCGCCGCTCCGAAACTCCGCATCGGTCTCAGTCTAAATCTGACTTCGCTGCTGCTGGCCCAAAGTTATAGAGCCACTCAGCCTCGGTCTACGAGTCGGCCATACAAATGGGACCTGGCTTTTGGAGCTCCAGAGCGGATTGTGCGGGTACACGGGCTTGTGCTCTCATATCTAACATGTGTTCATGTGTTGCTTTTTGCTGCGCTGCCAGCCGCATGTCTTATAAAACGAGTCGAGATAGGTGAACTCCGCCCGGGGGGAACTAGATCAGAAACTCTGCCTGCTGCTGTAGAACAAATCATGGGAAATATTTAGGAATTAAAAAGCCAAAAAGGCCATCTGTAATATTTCAAAATACATTTATGTTTGGTTACAAATTATTAGAACAGAACAAATTAAGCAACAATCTCACATCCTGTTCTTTGGAATTCCGAACTCAAAATTATTTAAATAACCTTTTATGACTGACGGCCATACCTTCAGTTTTTTCAGTCGGTTAGTAAAGGTAATTACATTCCATAATGGGCACATTATCAGTGTTTTGTATTAACTCCCATCAGATCGGAGCTTTATTATCTCACAACGCCTATATTCAGAGAGCCGCCGATCCGTGCAGTTGCATAATCACAATCTTCTTCGGCTGTGGCGTGCATCCGTCAGGTTAATTAGTAAAATACCTGGTGACCAGGCACGTATTGCCATTTAAAAAGCATCAGTTATTTTTTTTCCATTTTCCGTAAAGTTTTGTGTTGTTGATTAATCTCCACCTACTGCCGGCAACCGGTCGGTCGCATGTTTTTGTTCGATCTACAGTGGTGAACCAAAATGATAGAACTAGTCGAAGATTATATACTCTAAAAACTAATCGTTGTTGTTACACAAATTAGAGTACTTAACTGAAACTATTATTTGCATCTACAAGTATAATAACTATGGTAGTCTTTTACCAGCAACTGAACTCGAAATACTGTTCTGTTATTATGCGTTCTTTGAAATTATCAAATAAATATTAATCTCAAAGCATACAAAATGGTAGCAAAGATAATTATGTAGTTGGAAAATTACCCTCCAAGAATATTTATTATTTTAATATGTTTACGTTGCCTGATAAATGACAGGATTTTACCCGTTTTCCTTAGCAAACCTACCCCAACATTTTTTTGCGACTCATGGCCTCTCCCATTTTGGCTATTGTGCCCTAACCAATCGATTACTTCCTGCATTTTTAAAAAGTCCTCCCCCCTTGACTCCCGGCAGTTGGCCAAATTAATCAAGCGTGTGCCAAAAAAAGCAGAAAAAAAACAACACAGAAAAGAGGAAGAAACCAGAAAAATTAAACGAAAAAAAGGAGTTATAAATGAAAAATGCTGGACAATTGCATGGTTCGCTTACAGTGACTAATCGATTTTTGGAATTAAGTTGCGCCGCGGAAAGGAAAGCAAACTTGCAACACGGTGGCGGGGTGGTGGGTTGGTGGATTGGTGGGGCAAACTCTGGAAAAAATGGTTTGATATGGCCTGGCCAGATTCCACTCCACTCCATGCGATTCCGTTGGTTCCATTCCGCTGCGTTGGGTCCTCAATGTCCGATGGCTCTTTTTGGTCTGGTGGCTATTGATTTTTTACGATCCGAGTGGCCCCGACTAGAAGACACAACACACAACACACAAGACAGAGAAGACAACGCACTCGAATTGGAAGTATGCCAAGGCGGCGTGCCCACAGTTCACCCTACTATATAGTCGGCATATATAGCCAGGGCAATCCCCCATCCCCTCTTCTATATTCCTTGGCAATGTGTCGGCAGATTTGTTTGTTTTCGCATTCAATTCTCGGTCGACCGATTGGGCTTCCTTCGGCTGGCTGACTGTGCGTTTGGAAATGTGCCAAAGTTCAATGGACGGCATTGCTCTGGCGAAATTTCGACTGCATTCGCATAGTTGAGATGCTCTAGAGTCGCTCTAGAAATGCGCACGAATATGCTGCGGATATTGATGGCGGAAAGCCTCGAGAGGTTGGTCTTGACTTTTTACTTTTGCAATTTAGATCAAAGGTTGCAAAAGGAAAAACATAAGTAAATCTAAATCTTTGGATGGATAAATTAAGAGGGTAAACTCTAAAATAATAAATTATGTCGAATAATATTGTTTTGAACATTTTTCTTACTTGCTTGGAATTTCCAACAATTATTTCGTATTCGTCAAAAAGTTCCCTCAACCGCATAACAAAATCGTCTAATAATAGTTCCCCCTCTAAAGCAGCTGCATACTTTTAGGCACCCTAATATTTGTCATTATTAATTCACACCCCATAGATGACCCATATTTATAATTTTATAAAAATGGCTTGCCTACTTTTGGTGAAACTCTTTGTTTTTATTTGATTCGAAATTAATCTTGATCCTCTTCGTCGTTGCTTTGCATATAGTGCAAGAACTGATCGGCCATATGCCAGTACCAATGTAATTTGACCAGCTCCAGTCCACCCTTATCAGCAATCCATATCTGACCATTCTCCGATCTCTCGATGGCATTCACAATGTTCTGACCACAAACAGATGTCGACTGGCAGGGGGCTCGGCGAAGGCGATCGGCAAAGGATTGCCCGTACTCCAAAAAGGCTTTAAGTTTCCGATCCACAAAAACCCTTGTAGGTCCGCAACAAACCGCCATGACAGCCACTCCGTTTTGGGAATAGTAAAGAGGGTCCTTCAAATACAGCAAACAAATCTTAATATCTGATATACAGGGATTAATACTTCACTCACCGCTAGACTTCTGGTAAACCCAATCACTCCGAATTTAGATGCACTATAAGCGCAGAAAACTGGCGAAGGATCCAATCCAATAACAGAAGTAACATTCACAATAAGTCCGCCAGATCCTCCCATTTTTCTGTCCATATGTGGCAGTACAGTGGCTACAGTGTTCATCATTCCAGTTAGATTTGTGTTGATAGTGGCATCGATGTTGGTTTCGTCACACAAAGTTGCTCCATTGATCAGCACATCGATATAATCCATTTGAACCATCACCTCATCGAAGTACTTTTTCATTTCTTCCCTGGCCATGGTTACATCGTAAGTCCAGAAAAATATCTGCGTACTCGGCTTTATCGACTGAAGTTGAGCGATGGCTTGAGGATTTTCTACACTTTGTAAAATAGCCAGTTTCTAAAACACAAAATTTAGAACAAATTACTATTTTTAAATGATTAAGAGAAGATAAAGAAGAACCCTTTTCGCTTCTTTGTTTATTGGTCAACAACCTGTTTGTTTTGATGTCCAATACAAAGTTTATCTGAAACCAATATTTTGATTAAAATTCATACTTCAGTGCGCCTTGTTGTTGCTTTTAAGCGTTTCAAGATAAGAAATAAAAGTACTCGGAAAGTAAGGTGTTTATCTTGTTATTCAAAGTGGACGTCATTGGATTATAAAAACTTTGTGTGATAAGAAATAAAATAATATAGATAATAAATTTACCATTATATCAATGTAAAGCATTTACTTTGAAAGTGCTCTCTAACCTGAATTCTTTTCAAATAATTGTTAAAAACTCCCTAACCAGCGAAAGTGCTAAATCCTTAAGCGAATTCTAAGCCAAACTGAAACATAAACTTAATTGTTGCAGCGCGCGAAACAACATGAAAAACTCATTAACTTAATTAGTCTCGACAGCGACTTGCTGGACTAGTTTTGAGTTCGATCTGGGTGGAACCAGAAAGCCGAAACCCCGAACTCCGAATCCAGAACCCAGAATCCAGCTTCCACTCACCGCTATGTTCTTGGTCATGAGAACCTTGCTGGTCTCCAATGCGATTCCTCCGCAGTCCGCCACATAGCAGACATGCTTCCCCGTCAAATCGAACATTCTTTTCCGCTTTCGACGACTTCTGTTCCACAACTGATTGGTTGGTTGAAATACTTGCCCTGCTTCGCCTTAGCCACCCATCCCATTTATCTACTTTAATTAAATAGAGAAGTGATAAGCCTTATTTTGGATTTCTCAATTTTCATATATTATTCCGTTTTTTTTCATGGTGAGTTTTTCATTATCATATAAGGGGGAGAATGTGAGTGTGCATCGAATCAGCCTTATTGCCTTGCGTGAATATCTAGTGGTTCGCAGAACCCTATCAACTAATGTTATTTATGCTTTCGGGGCGTTTATCACGTTTAGATGCCCGAGTCCCAGTGCTTGGTCCACTGGATGGGCTCCAGGGTTCCCAAGTCCAGCTTCCAGATGGCACCGTTCTGGTTCAGCTCGATGGCCTTGACGAAGTTCTCGGCACAGGCCTGCGATGGCTGGGTGGGATGGGCCAGGAGCTTCTCGGCCACCTGGGGCTCAACATCCAGCCAGGAGTTGAACTTGTGCACCAGGGTGGTGCGGGTGATGCCGGGGTTCACGGTGTAGGCGGTCACACCAGTAATGGGAGCGAGTTTCTAATCGGGTTTCAATAACTCATTACTTTCCTGTTCAAAACAGAGATCTTCTCTAGAAGTACTTACCGCCAGGGAGCTGGTGAAGTTGACCACGGCGGCCTTGGTGCCGGAGTAGACGGGCACCTGGTAGATGGCATTGAAGCCAGTCACGGAGCCAATGTTGCAGATGATGCCACCTGGTCCTCCCTTGCGCTTGTCCCAGAAGTCCAGGATGGCGGTGGTGGTGTTGACCAAACCGGTGTAGTTCACGGCAATGGTGCGCTCGATCTGGTGATCATCGAGGATGCCAGCTCCGTTGATCAGGATGTCGACGGTCTTCAGCTTGTCGAAGATGGTCTTCAGCAGCTTCTTGGTCTCGGCAATGGGGACAGTCACATCATAGGGATAGAAGGTGATGGTCACCTTGGGATTGATTGCCTTCAGCTCGGCAATGGCAGCCGGGTTGTCAATGCGGTCCAGGATAACCAGGTTCTGAAAGGGATTGCATGGATTAAACCACCATCTAATGGAGGTTTCCCTAAGGTAGTTACCTTCAGGTCCCGCTTGACCAGCTCCTTGCTGGTGTCCAGGCCAATTCCGCCCAGACCGGCAACGAAAATCACGTTCTTGTTGGTCAAAGTGGTCGACATGATGACTTCCTTTCGCTGGCTCTTTCGATCTGTTTTGATGGCAAGAGGGCTTGGTTAGTTGTTGGTTTCCAGTTCGCCACGGCCTCGTATTTATAGGAAGATCTTCCCTCTAGAAGCTCCGATTCCGATTACGTGAAGCTTTTGCCGTTATCTATCATTACGCGATCAGCTACGTCGACTGCGACGTCGACGCTGACTGCGCTGCCCAGTTTATGGTTTATTTTTATTTTTCGGCACACTTCGGTTTGTTTTTGTTTGGAATCTTGTACCGGCAAAGCTTTTTCGAGATTAGCATTCTGTGTGTATGTTTCGAAATTTATGCCGCACTATGTGTGATGTTTGGAAAATTACTGCTAGTCTGCACGCGCTCCGTTTTTCGAGGTAGCTAACGAGGGCCCGGCGCCGGTTAACAGGGGCGGGTTATGTTAAAGCGTCTAAATTTAGAAGTTAACTAACAGGTGATTTTCCTAACAAAATTATTGCGTTCGCGTTCCGGCCTCCAAATTAAAATTTTATTATCAATTTGATTTCTGAACAAGATGTCGCGTCAGAATGAAACGCTTAAATGGGGGGAATTTTAGAGAAGGAAATTTACACTACAACATTTATGAGTTTGAGACTTAAGCTCAGAAGTTTCGATAGATTAGATTAAAATTCTCACAAAGCTTCAATTTAAAAATTCTTATTCTAAATCCAATAAGAATTTAAAATAATAATATAAATTATATTTTACAACACTTTCCAGCAAGTGGGTGCCTTTCTTCTTACTTACTTGATCAATTGAGAAAATTTTAAGAATTGCAAGTACCCGTTAGCCGGTCTGCTGAACTGCAACTGACAACTGCACTGAGACAATAATCGGAGTCTTCGGCTTTTACAGCGACTTAAATACTATTCTGCCGTGGGGGCGATTGCAGTCGACGTCGACGTCGACAGCGGCAGCGAAGCTCAAATAATTTGTAATATGTAAAATGCAATAAAAAATACGCGAGCAAATGATCTGCAAATAAATGCCGGGTAAAAGCCCAATACAAAATAGAGCACCAAAAGTGCACTGTAAAAACACTAAGAAGTTATTATTTTCCTAAATAAATTTTAACCACCGAAATATACTCAAATTTTTTTTTAAATATTTAGTTTTAACTGTATAATAATAAATGTAAAACAAGTTGAATATTTTGTGCACAACTATTACTTACTAAAATTTTACCCTAACATAAAAACAGTTTTTGAAATTATACACTAATTCTTAAATTTATCAGCAACAAAGACACATATTTTTTAGATGTGTAACCCCTCCAACAGAATAGTAAGAGCTTTAACCTTGTGAATGTCAAGCATAGCTATCAGAAGTCTAGAAGGAACCAAGCCTGTGTTGTTGCTGCGGTCGCAATTGAACTTCGGCTTAATTTGCATACGTGTAACTCAGAGGAGGAGCCCCATGAAATGAAGGGGAAGTGGGGGGATGGAGGGTCACTTGGAGGCAGCGTAGAATCAATCTGAAAAGTGGGAGAGCAAGCAAAACACGCCCCCTAAAAGCAGCTCATTAGCAATCTCACTTGTCCGCAACTGCGAAAGGCGACCAAGCCCACTTTGTAGCCGAGCTGGAATAGCGGTTTCAAGTGCTGCAATACATCGGCAGTTAAAAGTTAACCCATGTTTGACCAGCAGCCAAGCGATAAGCATAAAAACGAAAAAACTAACTAGGGACTGAGCGGAATGTTTATTTTGATGAAGTTCTAGAAAGTTCTTAAAATGAGAAATCATACAAAATTATGCTAAATGTAATCAAATTTATCCATGCGATACAAAACCTGTTTCAATATGTTAACATCTAAAATCTTATTAATTGCCAATTCTATGCAAATATTTTTGCATTCCATTTACTAGAAACATGAATCTGCCAACTTAAAAATAAAGTAGCAGAAAACAACACTTGCTCATAACCGTCTAGTAAAATTATATCCATGTCAAAAAGCATGACTGGCTTTTTATGTTGAGTTTTATCTGTTATATTGTAAACAAATGTATTATTTAACAACAGTAAATATTTTGCGCACCTGTCCCACTGCTCCCCTTAAGTCAACATAAGATATTACTTATCTTATCTTTTAGAGTTACCAAATTTTTACCATTGCACTTAGGGGGTTAAATTAGACGCGGGAGGAGTCTAATGGGGGGCAATGGCACGTGTGATGGGAACGAAAGAGATAAGCATGCGGAAGAAATAAGCTTTCAATTTGCATAAAAAAACTTGAACCTGTTTATTGATGTGAAAAATTCATATTGTTCACCTAATTTGCAGCAATGAATCTAAATAGAAACCGGGACATACATATATGGCCGGGATCTCTGGGAGCTTTTTGCGGTCGGTTAATTAAAATTAAAATTTTAATCTATTTATACTGTTCATATTCTCATTAATTTCTATTCATATTCCTCTTGTTGATAATCTTTATGTGTCGTTCTAAGAGTTATCTGCTAACAGGCTTGGTCACTTGGAGAATGCATGCTTGGAAAAATTCGGGCGCTGATAAAGATTTTAAGCTCAAAATTTTCCCACAATCAATAACTCATTTTCCGAGTTGACCCACTAATCGAACGAGTTGCTCTACTGCCATGGCAACTGTTCCAGAAGTAATATAAACAACATCGTATGACTGTTCGCCCCTCCAGACGTTAATTTAATGTGGTCTGGCCTAGTCTGGTCTACAGTTTTCCTTATCAGCAGACGTGCCTAACATCTTCGTACAGCTTGGGGGCAAGCGAAACCCGTCGATTTTTGTTATTATTAGCTACACTCAACGAAAACTTAAACCAAATGGGGGTGGACTAGGCAAATACTATATATCAAATAAGTAAATAAACAAAAATCAGGAATTTGTTTGTTTTTCTTTTCTCCTACGTCAACGAAAACTTTTTATAGATTTATTTGTTTTGTTTTTATATTTATAGGTAGTTTTTTGAAGCTTTTTTATGCGACTGCAAAATGATATTCTGTTTTGGTAATAACTTATGTGGCTTTAAATAACGAAAACGTGCCGTTCGGATAATTGGTCAACAAGCAAGCTTTTCAGAATTTATAGCCACAGTAAACAAACTTATTTTTGGAATACCAAATACGATTATACGAGATCTTTTTCTCTGTGTGCACTGTACGGTGGGCAGTGTGCGCCTTATCGGCTTGGCCCCCAAGTCATCCCGCCGGTGACATTCAACCTCTGGGGGGGTAATGACGCCAACGGCGTACCTGTCAAAACCGATTTACACCAGCTCTCACACTCGTACACTTATGCCCATAAGTACACGCTCGCCTCGCCAGCATTGAGATGTCGTTCCCCGGGCTAATTAAGCCGCTGGCATTGTCTTCCCGCTGTGAGTGTCTGCCTATTGAAACGAAACTGGGGCTTCTAAACGACGCTTGTAAGCTTCTTACCTCTTCCACACTAGGGAAATTAAAAGTAGCAGAGAGGTGTTGGTTTTTCAGGGGGGAAAGAAAGGGGATCCCTAGTTGCGTTCTACATGAATATTTGGGGCGTGGTTCCCATTGCATCTCGATGCGAACATAATCTAATTTACTATTCCACTGTTTGACCCATTTGACTCTTGCCAATCTCTCTCGCCGGCGAAAAGGAGGAAATCAACCTGGTTTGACGTAATTGAGTGCAGAGAATCTTTTTCGCGGGCTGATCAGGTTTCCCCTTTACGCTTGAGTTTTCTTTGGGGTCTGCGGGAAAACCGCAAACCGTTTTCTTTCGTATTTGCTTTCTGTTCGAACTCAACCATGGGATAAGAATATTAGAAAGAATAAAAAAATTACTTTTTACTTACGAATTCCAACTTATACAATCTTTGTTACCTTTCTGCACTATTCTATAAATTCCAATCACCGAAACGAAAGTCCATCAGATGTGAAAGACATCGTTACCTCTCACTTCATTAATCCCTACATTCTTCCAGCTTCAAACATTCAATAGATTTGATTCAATATTTATGAATTCGATCGCAAAAAAAACTGAAGTACAAAGAGTAAAACGAAACATATTGAGAACTGGAGCGTAAAGTGAAAAATGGTGCTGCGGTTTGACTATTCGTGTGCGAGTTCCCTTCTTCTAGGCCTTATAAATAAAACGCTCGACACACCCCAGCTCTCCACTCACACTCTCTTCCTCTCACCTGAAGAAATCAACTTGCAACTAGCAAGTTGCAACGCATTCGGGCAACAGAACTCAACGTCATCTTCGCTGAAGGTTGAGCTTAATTTGCTTTGACTTTTAGCAATTTGCATAAATATCAGACACACGTTGAGTCCTTTACCCTTGTGGCTGTTGCACGTTTGTTATGATTCTGGCAACCAACAATAACAATCAGAATCAGATCCAGATTCAGATCCAGCGATTCAGATCCAGATCCACACCGAATCAGTGCCGATGCAAAGGCAAAGGCGTTGGGGCTTGGTTACCTTTCATGGGAATGACAACGCCAGAAAATATATGAAAGAACGAATTATAAAGGAATTATGATTTCTGTCGGGGGCGTTGAACATTATTTACCCCCCGGTTCTGTACCTCCCCGCAATTTCTTGCCCCGCCTTTCATGTTGCAAATTGCAGCGACAATGCAAATTTGTTTTAGACTGATGAGATCTAGAGATCGCGATAAACTTCGACTTGCAGGGAAGTGAAGATCAAATAATGGGGTGTTATAATATTTGAGTACCATATAAATATAAAGGTGACAAAAGTTCAATCCTAACCATTTTCTAATATGTATTTTCAACATTTATTGTACATATGTAATGTAATTAATTTCTTATCAAAATGTTTTTTTTTATTTCCAGCGCTGGCAGAGGAGATGGTTTGTGCTCTATGACGATGGCGAGCTGACCTATTCAGTGGATGATTATGTAAGTATTTTGTTTAATTAGAAAGCTACAATTTACCATCACAAAGCTATAGGCCTGTATTATTGTTTTGACAAAAAGTTTCTGCAGAGAAAAACAAACTATGGGGTCTAAGAATATATGATAACAGAGCTCACTTAAGGGGAGGGTAAGGTTTTAAAAATTTTTTTTAATATTTTTTTTTTTTTTTTTTTCTGAATGATTAATATGTCGAGAACATTGTGTAAAAATTTTGAGTCAATTAAAGTCAAACTAACGGAGTTACAGCGTTTTAAACAACCGTATTTGGGCGTATTTTCACGTATAAAAATACTTTGAATCGATTTTGCCGAACACGCTATTTTCAAAGTCGGTGCCCCTAATAACTTCAAAACTACTGCACCGATCCTTTTGAAATTTTAAATACTATTTCTGTACATATTTTACGAGGTAACGCTGTCGAGTTTTTTTTTTTTTTGTTCATAATTTTGATTTTGCAATGAAAAAATTACCGATTTTTTCCCAAAAAATTGTGTTTTTCACTTCAAAATCTTCCAAAAAATTAAAAAATTGCAATTTTCAAAAAAACTTTACAGCGTTACCTGGGGCGAACTATTATCTAACGAATGAATTTTCATTTTTTGATTTCGGATGATCCAGCACCGAGTTATGAGGGGCACCGCAATTCAACTTTTTTTGGCGACACGTCCGGACAATTGCTACCATTGCCACATTTTTTAATATTTTTTTGTAAAAATTTGGTAAAACATTCTTCTAATGTCATACCTTAATATACCGTTGGTTGAATAAATAAATTTTAACTATGTCGTCAGGAAAAAAATCTCAAAAACATGGCTTTTTTCGCATGATTTGACCTTACCCTCCCCTTAAATTTTTTATGATATGACTGAACTATTTCTGATTATATACTCTTATGTGGTCTTTTAAAACCGTATAAATACCCACCGAAAATTCGTTATCAGTAGACACGCGGCGTATACCAGTTTGATTTGGTTTAATCGCCAGCTTATTTATGAAGTGGGAAAAGTAAAGTGGGTTTCTAATTGCCATTTGATTGATTTATCACCACAGACTCTTCGCATACATAATGGACTTTCTAAACAAACTCATTATTATAAACCATGTATTTTTTGGTTTAAGTTAAGACTGTTGAATAATGTACATTATAATATATTACTGATATAAACAACTAAAAAAATGAAAAGAGATAAAAATGTAAGGTTAGATTAGGTAAATAAATCTTAATATAAAAAAAACAATGTTATTATGAGGTCTTAATGTCATATATCTTTTTCAAATAGCCCGAAACAATACCGCAGGCGTGCGTGGACATGACCAAAGTGCTGGAAGTGACCGGAGCCGTCGAGGTGACGGGTCACCCCAACTCCATCGCCATAACCGCCCCGGAGCGCGTGACCTTTGTGAAGGGCACCAGTTCGGAGGAGTCGCAGTGGTGGCTAAACATCCTGGCCGCCTTCCCCAAGTCGAAGGGGCGCCACAAGCGAAGTGCCACCTTGCCGGGCGGCCAGGTTGTGGGCAGTCTGCGCCAGTCGAGCAATGGCGATCTAACGCTCTCCACGAAGTTGGGCAATCGACACAGCTCCTATCACAAGGACACGCTCACGTCCTCCCAGTCGGCCGGCAATCTGCTGAGCACTTTGGATCTGAGTCCCAGCTCCACGAAGACGAGCGGATCGCCGATGACCACCACGCAGACCAATCTCGCCGACGACGAGGAGGATGACGGCGTGGAAACTGGCGAGGATGTCGACGAGGAGGAGGAGGACGACGAGGCGGTGCCCAGGAAGTCGAAGACTGTCAGCATCGGCGGCCAGGATGAGAACAATCGCAATGCCGGCAACGAGATCACAAATCGGGGTAAGCACTTTGCTTAACTCAATGAGAATTCTTCATAAACATTAAAAGCTAAGCACTGTGTAAATTGTTTTTTAAAAACAAATGTCATTACATTTCTCATTTTCAAAATTTAAAGCAAAATAACATTGGATACTATATTCTCTTTTTAAATAAATAATTAAAATAATTATACATAAATCCCAAAGTTGGTAAAATAATAGAGCTTAGCGAAAACCCAAACCTTATAAGCACAATGAGCTTTTAAGCAGGTAATCTTTTTATTTCACTGTGAAATATACCTGATCTATTCATTAAACAAATTATACATGCTTTCCCTACACTAACTTGCAAATTAATTGATTAATTTATTGTAAGGTTATATATTGATGGTTCAACGAACAACAATCTATTGCAATTCCATAGTAATTCACGTCATTTACTTGTCAGCTGAGCAATGAATCCCATTAATATTTATGTAATAAAAGTGACGAAACGGACTTTTACTTTTTGTGGAAAATGGCTTTCAAGTTAATGTATCTTTGCTCTGTATTATAAACCTTTTCTTCACGAATTTTGTTCCGCCTGCCCTTTTCCTTTGGATGGCAAGGAGTTGAGTTCGGTTGGGCTCGTATCGGCTGCTATAATTTTTATGATCATTTATGGCTTGCAGCAATCAAAATTATCAACCTCGGCCCAGACGGACACAGTCTGACTTGGCTGAGGGACGGCAGGGATTTCAGGGGGGAGAACGGAAAAGGGAAGGAGGAGGGGAAAAGGGGGAGGGGGAGATGAAGGGCAGTGCGTGCAGCTAGTTAAAGCCGCGGCCACGAAATTAACCTTGAATTCACACACAAACACAGGGACAAACGTGAGGCAGGACTGGCGAGGCGGAGGATTCCCCGCCACTACTTAAGATCGTATAATGGTAGGCTTCATAAATTTTCTTTAGATCCCGCCAGACTCTCGCACACACACACACACACACACCCAACAGATCGAGTCGAGCTGTTCGGTTGTGAGGATCGGTTGGTTGGTGGGTCGGTAATTGCAGTTACTGTGAATGTTCTCACATACATTGCTGCAGGATACTTGTTCATGGAAAAATGATATTCACGCTTAAATTATAGTGTGTCTGCCCTCGGATCCGTTGTTGTGCCATCATGGATAGACCTTTTCCCTTGGTTGCAAATTCAAGGCTCAGCATCCACATCAAATGGCATTATTCCGTTGATAAATCGCCAGTTAAATACGTGAACCAGTTCGAATTGTTTGCCTGAGAAATAGAAAGAGAAAATGATCCATGCAAAGCAGATTTAAAGCAGAAAAGCTTATACTATATTATAAAGAATATCCAATTCTTTAAAGTAGCAATGATAATTTCAAGTGCAATAGTATCTAATAATTCAGCGAGAATTATAAATGCATTCAATTCCTTAGCCAGACAAATCATAATAATAATAACAACACTAAAGAATGCATTTCATTATGGCGAGTCCCTGCGGAAAGTACCGCTTCTGAAGGCACTCTAATGGCCACTAACATTTGCCACCTTTTTCGATTAGCGATGCACCGTTGGCTAGCAATGGGCCTGGATGGTCCGAGATCAGTTACCAGGTAGGACTCTAGGGCATTTCGCTCGCCGAACGAGAGAGCTGGGTGCTGACACAGACTAATTACATTCCATCAATAAGCAAAATTGTGCGGCAAATGAGGCAATTCATTGGTTGGCTTCGTACTTTCTGAATGGGTGTTAGGATGCGAAAATGGAGTGGGGAGAAAAGCTCTTAAAATGCACAACGACAAAGATTATAAACTGTCTACACCTAATAGCCGTCGGCAGGCGAATGTCAGGCCGGGGCCAGTTGAAATATTTTCCAAGTCAGCACTACATGATAGCCCCTCTGGACATGAGTCCGAGTCCCAGTCCAAGTCCAAGTGGAAGAGCCTCTCCATCCGTGTGGATGGAAGTACGTGTCTGTGCAGGGACTTGTAATGGGCAAAGTTTCACGGCAAAGTGAATAATTACAGTGCAAATAAATCTCGGAAACTGGTGTGGAAAGGCTCTAGTATGCTCTGTAGTAGATTAGTTTAGAAATTTCAACAGCCTCTCGCTCTCTTCGCAGAGGTGACGAAATGCAGCCCCACAACTCCCCGAGTAACCGGCGATTAAACGCCCCAAAAAAGAAATAAATCCCCAGACGAATCCCAAGCCAACAATCAAAGCATCAACCAAGGGCCCATTACAAGCGAACAAGTCTCCGAAGAAGTTAGCGTTTCACAAGAATTAAGTGCAAGATTGTAATGCAATGACAAATGGTAGAAGACCAGGAGAAGGGCAGCCGTAACTACTTATGATTGCAACAAAGTAGCTGTGCAATCCATTAATCTGATCCATTAACAGAAATTCGATAATCAGCGTTCCATTAATCTGATGCACTTAAAGAAATTCGATAATCAGTTGGATTATCTGTATCTAGATACAATTTGTAGATTTTACAATATTATTTTTAGAGTTTAAATTGAAGTTCTCATTTTAAATCTATGTTCCTTATGATATCCAGTGGAACTCTATTACTTCCTTTAAATTTCTTTCAGTGATCGTTTGATATATAACTCTCATTTGAACTATCTGGCAAGCGCTGTTATCGGTGCCTAACCTTCATACTATATCAATCCCTAATTACAACCCTTTGCAACTTTGTGGGCTAGCAAAGTCTCGAGCGAGAGAGCGTTCCATTAGTTCTGCCGCGAATTCATTATCTTTCTATTGAGGAGCCCCATTATGAGCCACACAGAAAAGGCATGTTAACAAACGTGGTCGGGTTAGGAGGACCCGGGTCCATTCAGGCCGGACAACTTCTGTGCAAATGCAAAATGACAGGAGTGGATGGGCCAGGAGGCGTCTCGCCAGCTAACGATGCAGGTTGTGCGATTTACGAGGCTCGGGAACTCCAACTTCTGCTTCAGCTCCGCAACTCTAGAGAGTAGAACCGTCGGTGGTGCAAGACGACGAAGAAGAAGAAGAAGAAGCCGAAAGAAGCCAAAGAAGCGGCAGCAGCACCACCGCCACCACCATCACCTATAACCAATCAATATTCATAAGTGTAACGACTTGCGAGCGAAATTTATGCAACAAGCTGCGGTCCGGTCTGGCAGGGTTTTATATATTTTCTTTATTTTTTTTTTTACATTTTTTTTCTTTTTTTCGTTTAGGGAGCCGGGCCAGTTAGAAATTTTTCAAAGTCATCGTGTGAGGGGACCTTTAGGCAATCGGGGGGCTTTTCGACGGGCGGGCAGCGATTCCAATCCAAAGGCAATTTTCGCTTTCGTTCGCCCAAAAGGCAGAACCGGGCAGGTAAATCAACTTGCAATTTGATTATTTATTACGTCTGAGGCGGAGCTTCTCGATGGCCAAGTGATGGGAATATCGGGGTATTCCGGGGGAAAATCGGGAGTTATTTGCAGGAAGCTCGGGCATGATTGAGTGGGTTGTTCTGAGTGCGCTTAATTGTGGCCATAATTAATCAAATGCTGTTAATTAAAGAAATGAAAAGAACCAACACAAGAAAAAAATCGCCACCAGAGACAATTCCAAAAATCCCGCAGCTGAACTTCTACCCTCTGGCGATCCTCCCAGTTTACATTGTATGATCGTCAGGGTTTTTCTGGGTTCCATCTGCAGGGAAACATAATTATAGGGCTTTCTGCATCAGCAGCGGCATCAAGCCACTTGCCAGCCCATGTATCTGCGAACACTGTTTTTATCAACTTAATTACACTTAGCACCTTACGCGTCTTTTTCCCCTTTTTTTTTTTTTGTGTGTAGGCCCACTGGACTGTGGGTTCTCTGATTTGATCTTGAACTTGAAAGCGCGTAGTAAAAGCCACAATAAATATTAAATGGTGCAAAACACATCAAGGGCAGGCCACAAAAGCGAAACAAAGAGCCACAGATAATAAAGCAGCAAGTGGGGATGGTTTTATGGGCCGTTCTGCGGATCCTTCAGAAACGAATGAAGGATGACCTGTAAACACACAAAACTATAAAAGATGATTTTTACAGCTTCCCTGTTGGATACTAAAACTAATTAATTCTTACAGTTTTTATTCGAGGCTGTTTGGTTTTGAAAAATGTGATTTATTGGTCACTAATATCTCAAAGTCAGGCAATCCTTTCAAGGCTTCTCTAAACATTTATTCGATCCTATTTTAAATTTTAATTGTATAGTTTGCAAGCTTTACATGTACTTATTTTTATTTCCAAGTGATTAAGGATCATTATCCGAACTCATAACTACGAATATTCCATCGTAAACATAATGAACCCCATTCAGGGAGCAAAGCACCATTGTGTCCTTCCTCTCGGCAATGTGTAATATCATAAGCATTATAAATTCCATTGCTGACATAGTGCCAGCCCCAAACCCCAAGCCCCAACCCGAATCCCGACCCCGAATCCCGATCCCGATCCCTTTCCCGAACCCTAATCGACGTAGCGTCGCCAGGTCCACTTTGGTCAGCCCTTTGGTTTTGTGCGATGGGGCCGACAAGTCGACCAATTAAAGGCATACCCCATGCCCATCGCAGTTAGCACAGTAACCTTGAACCTGCTCGGTGAGTCAGTCAGTGCAGCAGTCTGTCCAGTCAGTCAGAGCGGAGTGGAGCTCCGTTTCTGTCAGAGTTTTGAGCTGGATACCCACTCCGGTTCCCATTCCCGTTCCCATTCCCATTGCGAGGCATCCGAGGCAGCAGTATCTGCAGCTGGAGTTCAGAGGCTGCTGGTCCACCTCCTTTCGCTTTTCGCAACAGCTCAATAATCAAGATAAACGCCGCCGCCGCGGAGCAGCCGAAAAGCGACCAACCTGTCCGACTGACCGAATTGATGCGACTTCAGAGGTTCACTGTTCAGTATTCAGTATACAGTATACAGTATACAGCATCCATTGCCCGATCGTCTGGAGTTTATGGCCAGTCGGAAATTTGTATCATAATCATAATAAACCTAAATGTGGCGGCTGGCTGGAGGAGAACAGGTCGTCGGGCAAAACTCACTCACTCACTCACTCGCCGCGTCTAAATATATATTTTGTAATCACATATTTTATGGGACAACTCGGAGCTGCCTCTCGTTCGTCTGGTTCTCGTCTCCGACTCGTTTTGGTGTTAATAAAATTATGGCACTCTGCTCAGCGCTCTCGGGATCTCAGTGGCTTTCCTGGCTTATCGCGATCCCTCCTCGGATCCCCTTACAAACGCCGTGTGCCCGTTTTAATAATTTTATTATATTTGCGCGCACATAACTTGGCTCTTTCGCCGCGTTTTACGGCCCTATGTTGGGCATAAATTTTGTTAGGGGTGGAGCACCTCCGAATCCTCAGTTCTCAGTTCTCGATTCTCAGTTCTCAGTTCTTAGCCTCAATCCAGCATCCACACGATCCTCTGTCTAAGTTAATTTCAGTCAATGGCATTGATATGGTTTGCTTAGCCAGAAGAGAGATCTCGGACAGCCGGCAAAAGAAATTACCGGCATGCTCATATTTCAAAGTATTTAATGAAGACGTTGAGCCAATTATAAGAAAAGAATGCGTAGATTGCTCGAAGAGGTTTGTTTTGGGCAAAGGCTGAAGGACAATTTATGTGCCTTGATGGCCGGCAAGTTTGTATTCTTGTAATTGCCTGATTATCTCTATAAACGATCTTTTCTTTGTAAGTTGATGGTGGTTTTATGTTCGTACTTGGATGGCTTTTATTATACTATTTATAGAAAAATGGTTTCTGGGCTTAGAAATCGCCTAAGTAATAGTTCTCTTAAGATTAATATAAATATATTTTATTTAAGAACACAATACTTTACTCACATTATATCCTTCTTAACTATATTTCAGTTTCGCAACCCACCACCTGCCTGCTGATCGAGGACATTCGCCGTGATGAGAAGACGATCAAGGACATCGCGAACACCATTACCAATCTGAGTCAGCAGCAGAACAAGCGCTGGTCCACGGCGGTGAACAATGCCCTGAACAACCAGCACCACTTCAGCCATCACAGCCAGTACCAAGTGAATTCCCGCGACGAGACGGACTTCCAGGTGTCCAACTCCAACAGCGGCAGCGAACAAATCCCAAAACGCGGCCAGCGAGCGACCGAAATCGCTGCCCTTGGCCTCCAACTCCACGCCTGCGATCGTGTCAGCCATAGTCAAGAAGATACCCACGGTTATGGAGCAGGGTGACAAGACGAAGCCCACTGCCAGGTTGCAGCTGCACCTCAAGTCACCGAAGCATTACCAACACGAGCGGGGCGATCCCGACGGGGGATGCAATCTGGACGAGCTGTGCGTCAACTACATGGCCAAAACGGATGAGCTGCGATCGGTGGGAAAGGCGAACAGTAAATCCTCCGCGGGTCAAGGCAAACCGCCGGTTAAAACCACCGCTGAGGAGTCGTTGAATGCCAAGAAGGGTTGGCTCATGAAGCAGGACAATCGGACGGGCGAGTGGTCCAAGCACTGGTTCACTTTGAGTGGAGCGGCGCTCTTCTACTACCGAGATCCCTTGTGCGAGGAGCGTGGCGTCCTCGACGGCGTCCTCGATGTGAACAGTTTGACCAGCGTTCTGGCGGAACCGGCGGCCAGCAAACAGCACGCTTTCCAGCTGACCACCTGGGATAAGCAGCGGTTGCTTTTGGCCAGCTTGTCGCCCAGTTCGCGGAACAGCTGGCTGGCGGTTTTGAGAAGCGCTGCTGGATTGCCACAACTGGATGCACCGCCCAAGCAGACGGACATTGAACAGGACTTCATTAAGGCTCAACTGCAGCAACCCGCCTCGAGCCCTGCAACTCCGGGAACTCCGGCTGGTCCGCACTTCTCCTCGGATGAGGAGTACAGAACGGCATCGGAGGGCGGGAGGAGAGACAGCTTGGACTGGGGTTCCCCGCTCTCCCCTTCACCGCCTGTGTTGAGAAGTTGCCTGCGCAATCGCAGCCTGGCCAGTTTGCACAAAAGGAGTCGCAGTTCGCCGCCGAGTTCACGGCGCAGTACGGTGGACAGTGTGGCCAGTGACGAGTTGCCGCTGCTGGTGGTGCCCGAGGAGCTGCAGCCCACGGAGAGCAGGGAGCTCAAGCAGCAGTGTGAGACCCTGAGAGCAGAGGCTTCCCTGCGGGAGGCTCGCATGTCGGAGCTGCTGGCCACCCTCCAAAGAACCGAACAGCAGCTGACCGCTCGCCTGCAGGAGCAGCAACAGCAACTCAACAGCGAACTGACCCAGGCCAAGCAGAGCGCCTCCGATCTGATGCACAACCTGGGCCAACAGCTCACCGAGAGCCAGTGCCAAATCAAGCAGCTGGAGGATCGCTTGGCGCAGGGAATCGAGGAGAACGAGGGTCTCTACAAGCGGCTGAGGGAACTGCAGGCCCAGGATCACGGCGGCGGAGGCGGGGGGCTGAGCAACCTGCAGCGTCACAAAATCAAGCGAATGGACTCGCTGAGCGATCTGACCACCATCAGCGACATCGATCCCTACTGCCTACAACGCGATTCGCTGGCGGAGGAGTACAACGAGCTGAGGTCGCGCTTCGAGAAGGCCGTCAATGAAATTCGAGCCATGAAGCGGGAACTGAAGCAGTCGCAAAACCAATACGATGCCTTGGAACTGGCGCAAGCTGCTCTGCAGCAGAAGTTGGAGCGGCGGCAGCACGAGGACGGAGCTCAGCTGCAACTGATGGCGGCTCGCATTCAGGACTTGACCCTCAAGTACAGCAGTTCGGAGCGACAGGTGCGGGCCCTTAAGCAGAAGTTGGCCAAATCGGAGCGAAGGCGATCACTTTCGCTCAAAGGAAAGGAGCAACTGGAACTGAAACTGAGCGAGTTGCAGAGGGAAACGGTGGAGAGGAAGGAGGGCACGCCGCCAGAATCCTCGAGCAGTGAATCCAGCAGCCAGTCACCGCTGAATGCCCATCTCTTGCAGCGGTTGCACAGCTTGGAGCACGTCCTTTTGGGCAGCAAGGAGCGTCTGGAGCAGAGTCTGTCCCAATTGCAGCAAATTAGGGCTGGCCAGAGGACTCGTCGTTCTGTTTCCCCGATGAACGATCGCAAGGATGGACTGAGACAACTGGAAAGGGCTCTGGCCGAGACCTGTGTGATGGTCAGCGAGCAGATGGAGCTCACCTGCCTGCAGGACGCTTGCCACAAGTGCTGCGATCTGCGGCAGCGGGTGGAGAAGCTCTCCGCGTTGCAGCAGCAAACCGAAACGGATCTGCAGCGCAGCGAACAGTTGCTGGAGCAGCGGGAGAGCGATCTTGCCCAGGCGCTGGAGAAGTGCGCCAGCCAGGAGCAGGAGCAGGAGCTGCTCCTCCAGCAGAGGCAGGAGCTCAGCGAGGAGCTGGGCAGGCAGCAGGAGCGCTGCCGGCGACTGGAGAAGCGACTGGAGCTCCTCGAAAGGGAACATGGCAAGCAGCTCGAGTGCTTGAGGGAGGTTTACCAAAGCGAACACGCCAACGAGGCCGACGAGCAGAGCTTCAGGAAGCGTTACCAAACCGAAATCGAACAGCTGAGGGTAAGAAGAAATAGTCAGGCTAAAAAAAAATGAAAAACCTATGTAGCAAATTAGCCATTTCAATTTAAATTATATTTAATGAAGAAAGAACATGAATTGTAAATCCCTTGGTAATCATAATTAACTTATGCGCAAAGCAAAGTCTCCTAATAGAAAGTGCTTAACTTAAATACCATTAATTTCAGACCCTCTGCGAAAAGGGATTGAGTGCCATGGAGACCTCGCATCGACGACTCACCTGCGAGCTGGAGCAGAAGCACAAGATGGAAATTGAGCGCCTGCTGGCCGAGAAGGAAACCGCTTTGGCCGAGGAGACTCAGGTGAGACCCGCCGATAATTATAGCTCTTTCAACATTTACTCAACTATTCCGGATTGCTTTACATATTTATAGGCCACTCTGGCTGCTCTGGACGCGATGAGGAAGGCGCACCAGAGCGAAGTTCAGCGAGAGGTGGCTCGATTCAAGCAGGAGTTTCTGCGCCAGGTCCAAAGGGGCGAACAGATGCGGGGTGATGGAGCCAAACTGAAGGAGTAAGTACAGTAAAACAACTTTAAAAATGATCTAGTACCTCTGGAAAACAACGAAAGATTGGTAATAATTTTGAACTAATGTATGTACATATCATTACAATGAGGTTTTAATATGACAATATAAAATTGATCTTAAAATACTTAAATCCAAAATGCAATATTAAAATGATATTACAATAGAATAATATAAAACTGATATTACAATAAATATTATATAGGTAGGTATTATAATATAATGTCAAATTTAAATTAAATATTAATCTTGAAGTAAATGTCCTGACCATTAATTTTAATACTTATTAAACCCTTTTTTAAAATCCAGGGAGGATCTCGGAGAGCTTCGACTGGAAATTCTGTCCTTTTCCGAGAAGTACTCCATCAAGTGTGTGGAAAACGCGGCCTTGGAGGAAAAGCTGCATATGGCCAACAGCAAGCTGAGGCACTTTCAGCAAATGCAGCAACTGGAGTTGAGGTAAGATGATCATCATAATAATTATATTTTAAGATGATCCTAATAGCTATGATTTGTGACAGAAATAAGCAATTTCGAGCCCACTTGGCCTCCGATGATCCGGCAAACGATGTTCACTTCGTGCAGGGCTTGACCACAGACGCTCAACAAGGTGCTGACTGTGAAGATAGCGAGGTAAGAAATTAGCGGGTTGATGCAACACAAACCCCCTCAAATTAACACTAGATGAACTGGTATAAATTGTGACTAACACTAATCACTACAGCAGCAGACAACAACTAATCCACTTTGTTACCATCTTCCACTATCCCAAAAAAACGAAAAAAAAAATCGAAAAAACAAACACAACACAAACAACACAACACACAAGCCTGCACCACAAATAATGGCTGCAACAGCAACAAGAACCACTGCCACTGCCGCAACCACAACAGCAACAACCACATCAGCGGCTTCGAGCGACACTGAGTCCAATCCCGATTCCGATTCCAATTCCGATTCGGATATAGAAAGAGACGATTCATCGCGAGCGCCAGAAAGCCAAGAAAAAGCCGAGAAAATGGAGCAAAGTCTGTTCGTGATACCCTCCCATATGCTAAACTGTTCCCCCGTGTCTGCCGCAAAAAGCGCTTCTGATCAGAGCCAGGCGATCCATCGAGATCTCGTCGATGGGCCCGAGGATGGTTACGAGCCATGCTACAGGCCCTTCGATATATTCGCCATCTATCAGAATCGTTTGAGCTTCCAAGGTAAACGCAAAACGCCATTCTCGATCAAGATCCACTCTATTGTATTTCTCCTGGGGCAGCGCACTCTTCCTCCTACATTCTACACACAACATCATCTCGGCTGTCTCTGCTTCTGTCTGTCTTTTGTACATTTCTCTTGGACCTTTTGTTTAGGTGCTCCTTTCCTTGTTAACACACACCACATATATGTTTTGATCTCACTAAAAAATCTTAACTAATTTTGGATGTGTTCGCCTTTTTTTCTCGACTCATTGCAGGTCTGAAGGGCACTTCCACCTTTGGCAAAAGTTTGAGAAAATCCGCTGCTCAGACATCACCAGCATCATCAGAACTAACAACTAAATCAACAACAACAACTGCACCAACAACCGATCCAAATAAGCCCAGTCACAAGCAAATGTTTAAAACGGCTGCCGTCATTAACATTCAGCAACAGGAACTCCAGGAAGAAAAAGCACAATGAACAAATCGAAAATAATAATACCGAAAGAAAAAAAAACGAAATGCAAGAAAACAACAAACAGAACCAGTGGAACAACCAAAGAATAATTAGTGCTAATAATAACTAAATAATTATAATTATTTAAAATATATTAATAACCAAGCAACCAAATGCAAGACAAAATCGAACGGCACAAGATCATGATGCATGTACATAAAACGAATAACATTTCTCTAACAGAGCGCAAAACTGGTTGAAGATCATAATGATGATGATGATGTTGGTGATGTAGCAGACGAGTTAAATACATGAGGAGCTTCAGATTTGAGTTTGGAGTTATGGAGTTAAGCTAACAACGACTGTTCACCCCCCTCCAACGAAAATGTGGAAGGGACGTCGAGCAATGGATAACTAACCCCCAACAAAAAATAAGAACAACAACAACAACAACAACAAGCAGCAGCCACTGCGTCATCAACAGCTACAAAAACAACAGCAATTTTGGGCCAAATTTATGTATTTATCATCTATTCTATCATTGTATCTGTATGTTATTCTACTGTACGTTTATCCAATTCTCTATGTCCACAAAATGTGTCATTTATTTATGTTTATGTAGTTCATAGGTCAACTTCTCTTTTTTTGTCGTTTGTATTAAATATATCGAAATTGTTTTCAGCTTACATACATGTAAATGCATTATACATAAAGAAAATACAAACAATAAATCTTTAATTTTACTTTTGTTTTGTTAACCATTGGTATTAATCAAATATATTTTACCTAAATTAATTCAATTTTAATCTTACTAAATAAGTGGGGCAAAACAACAAATGTTAATATTATTTACCCATAAGTCGTTATTTGTGCAACAAAAATAAAAAACTATAAGCAATGTTTATAATTTGAAAAAAAAAAACAAAATATTTCTTTGACTTGGGCTCGTCCGGGATTTGAACCCGGGACCTCCCGCACCCTAAGCGGAAATCATACCCCTAGACCAACGAGCCAGTTGCCACTCTATTGACCAAACGTCTAGTTATCTTAGCGCCCGCGTGGAGCAGGTTTCTGTCATGGTCAACAGAAAGCTTTAGCCTTGAAAGTAGCCACCAAACCAGTTCTTATTATCTTTTTACTAACATATTTGGACAGCATAATGTGGATATTCGGTCTTATTTTTGATCTTCTACGATCAATATTCGATCTGACTCGATGTGACTTAAAAATTATATAAAGCGTTAAAAACTCACATACTCATCCGAACCAAATTGCGACACAACTCTTCATATTATTTAGTATGCATCTCAAGGTTGACAACTACTCCTAAGGCAACTGTCCTATATTATGTTTTTGGAAAACAAATTATTAAATGACTTTTAGGTAATAAAGAAGATTTTCTCATAAACAAATTAGTTTATTATGCAGTCTTTTACTTTGGAAACTTTTTTAAAAAAATAATGAAAATATTTCGAAGCAGTGTAGTTCATACTTTGTTTTCCTTACCAATCAAAATTAATTCATTATTGTTTTAGTTTATACAAGCTGAATAAATGATTGCGCCAAAACAAAATAAAATCAAAATAATTAAATTCTCTTGGGCTCGTCCGGGATTTGAACCCGGGACCTCCCGCACCCTAAGCGGAAATCATACCCCTAGACCAACGAGCCGGTTGAACAACACGTGCAGAAATTCCGTTTTCTTATGGCGGCCACTCCATGCGCAAGTGCAAATAAAGCTTTGGCTTTAGCTTTCCAGGAAAACTGAAGATGCGGACAAAAACCGAAAGCGCACTCAACTCATTATTTGCCATTTCAAGTAATTTCTGCCGCAGCAAAAAAGAGCAACAGCTGAATAAATGAGCATGGAAGTCGGCGGTTCCAGGCAGTCTGCCGCATCGGAATGGTTTTCAGGAAGGCGAAAAAGAAAATCAAAGACAGGAGACAGAAGTCCCATTCCATAAATGTCAACTAACGTTCCCTTGGGACGTGCGCGTCCACTGGGCTAAAAAACCCTTTGGCGAGTTTAAAATGCAGAATGCATTTGCTGTTATGGACTTTTTCCCGGGAACTCTGGGATATCTGCTTTGGACACTTGAGCTCTGTGTTTTCCTTCTGGATCGATTGATTGCCTTTTTTGGCAGCAGAGCGATTGTGACGTCACTTTAAATGAGTCGCAATTGATTTGAACTTTTGCCAATTGCCAACGACTATTGGAATTGCGCGATTCATTTCCCATTCGCCGTTAATTCGCATAATTGTTTTGCTACTTGGGAAGCAATTCGACAAAATGTTGACGAGGCCAAAACTGAAAAAGCAAGCTAATTCAAAGCAAACGAAAAGAAAAACGTGTAGAAATTAGTGAAAATTACAGGCCGCTGTTTGACTTTGGCATCACGATTTTCCCCGCATTGGCAAGCCATCGATACGATTTGTTTGCTTTGCTTCGGTTTTGGTTTTCCCTCGCTCTGCCCGGCTTTTCCTGGCTTTTCCTTTCGCTGCCTGTCCCTGACCCTTGTGGGGACACTCGGAAAAGCCAATAGTCCCGAGTGGCGCTTTTCTTTCAACCCGCAAACCGGGCTAACAATCCATTTTATTTGATTATCTACTCAGCTGCCGTCGCTGCGGTTTCCGACTGACGTGACGGAATCGAAATTACTTAATTCCAGCGATTGGCATGCCGACTCCAGTGGCATCGGATCAAATGGGGTTAAGCGCAGGCCGAGGCAGGTGATCGAAAATATGGGGTCATTGAACCCCGAATGGCAACCAGTCCTTTCAGAAACTCAGTTCCCAAACTGAATTACTTACTTAGCTACTTAATAATTACCGAAATCAAACACATAATTATTGATCACCCAGAATTTAGGTCATATATGATTTTGTTGGCTTTACTGGTAACTATAACAAGTTCCCCAGTAATAAGCCCCGTCCCATCCAATCATCCCCCAATTGGGGCCTCCACTTCCACCCAATAGCTGGCCGATGGCCAAAGTCGTCATTACCATGCTGCACACCTGCAATTACCATCTAGTTGTCCATGCAATTTTCCAGTTTGGAATTGAGAAAAGTCTTCGCATATGTATATAATGCAGGAACGAGCTCTGATTAGGCTGTAATACGCAACTAGAAACAAGAACAAAGAACCTCAAGCCAGAAATGCACAGAGAACAAATTTTTACTCGCTCATAAAAAAAAGGAATTTTTAATCTAATGATAAAATTAGTAGAAGAACATCAAAATAATGTTTAATAGAAGACTAAAAGGGCATTAATAAAGTTTGTAGTAGAATGGTAACAAAATTTTATTAAGGAAACCCAAACGAATGATCAAATTAGTTGAAGTTCATCAAAAAACATTTATTAAAAGGCTTTAAAAATATTTATAGAGTGTAAAGTAGAATGCACACTAAATTTGATTAGGGAAATCCAAACGAAAAGCTTTTCCCGACTGATTATCTTCCTTATTAATCCAATTACCAAGCCATAATTCAAGACGGTGAAAAATTCGACAGGCCAAAGCAATTTATGGCACCTCAAACTCTCACGTTTCCCCGCCAAATCTTTACCCCTCCCCTTAACTAATTAAACACAGGCCATAAACTTTTATGATGTACCATAAAAGATACGACACTAAATCGTTCACAAACTTCAAAGGATTTCGCTTGGCTCTTTCACTCCGGCAGTTCTTAACAAGCGCCAAAAACAAAACCACCGCAAATTAGAACAAACCCATCACGATCGATTACATTAAATAATGCTACGCCTGGGCCATGTGCAATTTTTTGTTTCTTATTGTGCCAGCAGCAGATTCTAACAAACTGCGACAACATCAAAGGCCCAAGCCACGACCCAATTGGCCTTCTTCTTTCAGGGAGCAGAATGGCAGACAAAGGGGGGCAAGGTAGAGGGGGGTTAGTTCAAGATCCAACTCCAGACTCTGACTTCATTGAGGCATAACGTCCGCCTCGGATTCTTTGGGCCTGTTATAACGGCCACGAAATCGCGCGCCCCAAAACAATGCCATAGCAGCAAAATCCACAGCAGAAGAAACAGCAACAGCAACAGCAACAGCAACATCGGCAACTTGCAACTTCCATCCAACTTGCAACAGTGGCAGAAACGGTAGCTGGCGTTGATGTTGGTGAAAAGGGAAAATTGTTTCGTTTCGTTTCGTTTCGTTTTCGCTCTGCTTGCTGCTGCCTTCTTCGTCTCTCAGGGGATATTATGTTTGGTAGCTGTTAACATAAATTTATACTGCCTTTAAACTAATTGACGATGACAACTTCTGTGCAGCAGAAGCGGCAACACAGCAGCTAAGCAACAATAACAACTCGAAAACGCTGCTGGCATACTTTTCTAGTCATCCCTGTTCCGCGGATTGTCTTTAAGATCGCTTTGTGGGCTGGTCGTTGCAAATGTTTGCAGGCTTCCAGGCGATTTACGAGTGCCGCGATCTTGAAATGCCTTCGCGAGCATTCACCAAATGTGTGTGGCAGTGCCACATTTTATTCAATAACTGAACTAATTGGAAGGTGTATGTCAAAAGCCACTTGAAATAATTCTAGCTGAAAACTTAACGAAATAAATTTATAGAAATTTTAAGCCAAACTGGAAAGAATCTGGATAGTATTATAAATCCCATAAAACATATAATAATAATGTATAATATAATATATATCTACCCACCTTGTCCGATTTTTCCTCTTAAAGATTAGTTAATTTTTTGCAATATTTAAAGCCCGCCTAACCTACTGACAACTTTTTCGCATTAGCCCTGATTGATTGAACATATATTGACGTTGGAGTTGACTTGGCCTACGTTGGAAAATTCAGTTTCATTAGATTTTCCATTTTCATAAACGTGTACGGCCGTCAATTGTCATTAGTGAAATTAAAAGCCGGCGAAGATAAAGTGCCGACTGTCAAAGTGGCCAAGGAAAGTTTCGGTTTGGGACCGTTTCGACAGCGCAAACTTCTGTGCGGCGACTCGAGATCAAGATAGTGTGGCAATTGATGAATTCGTGGAGGATTGGGGAGCGGTGGTAGCCGAGCTGGAGCTGAGGAAGTCGACAACAAGTTGTAAGAACAAATAAACAATTGGTAATTGTTTCGAATTGGGAATGGAAATGGAAATGGCAGAGGCTATGCTGCCAGTGGATTGGGATTGGGAAATGGGAGTTGCAGCTAAAGTTGGAGGATTGCCAGCTTGAAGGAGGAAGAGGAGGAGGTGAGACACAGGCACAGAGACCCGGTGACACACATTTCCATCCATTTTCCAGGCACACACCATATACACGGATCGTACACGAGCTTGGAAACCGAAAGTCACACAAACCGAGATAATCATCAAACGAGACTTCAGACTTTTAAGACTCTGAGCTGCCGTTTCTGTTTCTCTCTCTTTGGGCCATCGTGTGAAACATAAATGCGCCCAAATTGATTTTTAAATGCTCCTGGGGACCTCTGCCGAGGATTGACCCAGCTCAACCCTCTGGGAATCGGCTGGGAAGAATCGAAACGAAACGAAACGAAGAAGATGCCTCTTCTTCTGGCTGCCGTAATACGCAGACCCCGTTTTTGGTTTCTGGCGGCAGGAATGAACGAAAAAATCTGTTTACTATTTAAGGCAGTAACAATTTGTTCGGCTCACGTTTTTGGCTCGCACATATTTGGCTAGGATAAGCTTATCCCGCAAGCACAACAAAAAAGTGGAGAAAGATCCCATGGAGATGGAAGTTTTT